GTATATGTATATTAGGCATACATATATATGTTTATATACATATCATATATATCTTATATATATATATATATATAAATATATATATATATATATATATATATATATATATATATATATATATATATATATATATATATATATATACACATACATACATACATACATATATGTGTGATATGGGCATATATTATATATCTGCTATCTGTTGGGCATTTTAATGCTTTAAGTAAGTACTGATGGCATAGATTAGTAGATAATAAATTGTATATGTATATATATGTATATGTACATATATATATATATAAGTATATGTTATGTTTATGTATATATATAAGTATATGTTATTTTTATGTATATATATAAGTATATGTATGTATGTATGTATGTATGTATGTATGTATATATATATATGTACATATGTGTATGTATATATAGGTATATGTATAAATATGTATGTGTATATATGTATAAATATATATATATATATATATATATATATATATATATATATATATATATATATATATATATATATATATATATATATGTATATGCATATGTATTTGTATGTGTATATATGTATATATATATGTATATGCGTATGTATTTGTATGTGTATATATGTATATATACATATATTTTTATATATATGTATATTGTATATATTGTATATATTGTATATATGCATGTATGCATATATGCATATATGCATATATGCATATATGCATATATAGATATATAGATATATAGATATATAGATATATACATATATACATATACATATATGCATATACATATATGCATATACATATATGCATATACATATATGCATATACATATATACATATATACATATATACATATATGCATATATGCATATATGCATATATGCATATATGCATATATGCATATATGCATATATGCATATATGCATATATGCATATATGCATATATGCATATATGCATATATGCATTTATGCATTTATGCATTTATGCATTTATGCATTTATGCATTTATGCATATATACATATATACATATATACATATATACATATATACATATATACATATATACATATATACATATATACATATATACATATATACATATATACATATATACATATATATATATATATATATATATATATATATATATATATATATATATATATATATATATATATAATATAATATGTATATATGTATATATATATACATGTATTTTTGTATATATATGTTTTCACACATACATATATATGTATATGTACATTTAATATGTATGTCTATATATGTATATATATTGATATGTAGAAAAGGTATGAATGAGAATGAATATCTTCACAATACAAGAGATGTATTGTGAAGATATTCATTCTCATTCATACTTTTCTACATTTGTTAACATGAATATGGTTCATATGTGTATATGTATGTCTATATGTATATATAGATATATGTGTATATATATGTATGTATATGTATATATATGTGTATAAATATGTATGTATATGTATATCTATGTGTATATATATGTATTTTATATATATATATATATATATATATATATATATATATATATATATATATATATATATATATATATATATATACATATATATATATATATATGTATGTATATATACACATATATGTATATGTATAATAAACATATACATATATATGCACATATATATGTCTGTGTGATATGTGCATTTTATATTATATATATATATCATCTGTTGGGCATTTTAATAATTTCATGAAGTACTGATGGCTTAGATTAGTAGTTAATTAATTTTGTTTTATAATCTAATATCCTGAAAGTGATAGAATTATTCCTCCAAACAGAACATGTCAGAAATGCTCAAGGGCCATGGACTGCGCTGTGCTTCCTTCCTGCACCAGAAGGGCTACATTGGGGGCCAGTGGGTCTCGGCTACCAGCGGGAAGACTTTTGAAGTTACAAATCCGAGCAATGGCAAAGTAAGGAGTCTGGATGTTTGAATAGTTGATTGATTTATTGATTAGTTAATTAATGATATTTATTTCATTGTTTATTTTGAGGGGGAATAGTTTAATGTATAAAAAAAAGTAAGACTTTTTGTCATTTGGGAATTTTTTCAAGGAACTTCACCTATAAAAACTTGATATTTTAGTTATTGATATAATTGAAATTTGCAAAACTCACAGGTGATTGCAAGTGTCCCAGACATGGATGAACATGATGCGCGGACAGCCATTGATGCAGCCTACGATGCTTTCCAGACATGGAGGAGAACCACGGCCAAGGTAACACAGAGGTTTTTGATATCAGTGGTCTCTGTTTCTTTTGTTGATATATATGTGTCTGCATAACTTACTTAAGTCTATTTACTTATAGACATCCATCTACTAATGCATTAATTTATATAATTCTTGATAGGTCTATCTATGTAATATAGATACATTATACTTCCAAAACAAGTCAGATCAAGTAGATAACCAAATAAAAGTAGATATGGGTGAATAAGTCAAGTGTAGGGGTTTGGTGATTTGTGCAGTATGTCATGAACTTGATTTTTCAATTCCTATAGGAACGTGCCACTCTTCTACGCAAATGGTACAGTTTAATGGAAGAGCATAAGGAGGACTTGGCTATCCTAATGACAGCAGAAGCAGGAAAACCTCTTGTTGAGTCCCGTGGTGAAATAACTTATGGGAGCTCTTTCCTGGAGTGGTATGCAGAAGAGGCTAGACGCATACATGTAAGATATTTTTAAATTTTATTCACTAGGAGTTAGTGTATCTTCAGCAAAAAAAAAAAATATGAAGGACACTTCAGCTTATCTTGCATCCATCTTCATGCTTATCATGGTTTTGATTATGAATTCATTGAATCTATGTATTTCAGTATTGAATTTTTCATTTATATTGTTATTATTATCATTTTTACTTTATTTTCAATTCTTATTTCCTTATCACTTTGGAATTCATGTTTGTTTTCAGGGTGAGGTTGTTCAGAGTCCAGCACCCAGCAAGGAGATGATTTTTCTACGCGAACCTATTGGAGTTGTGTCCATGATTACGCCTGTGAGTATATTCAGTTTTAGTAAATATACTCGATTTCATAGTGTTAATTTTATATTAACTATAGTGTGTCTCTACTAGCCAAGACTAGAATATTAGCTGATGCTAAATGGTTATCTACATATAAGTCTGGTATTTTTAAAATTCATATACACTACTTTAATTGCTTTACACCACTGTTCTCAGAAGAGACTTTGTCAATCTGAATAGCTCAGAGCTTTAGGTGAGTGACCAGTCCTTTCATGAGACTGGACAGAGGACAGCAAATTTTGTAAGGCTGCATTGATTCACAATACTAAATATCAGTAAGCATATCCAGTTCTGGGAAGTTTGTTTAGTATATATGAGTGACCCATTGCTGCTAGGTAATCAAATGCATGCATTTTTTATTTAATTTTTTTTAGTTGTTATTACATTTTCATTAAAGTTTATAAAAACTGAAGAATACTTCAGCTTATCTTGCTTTCATCCTTATGTTTATCACTGTGTTAGTTATAAACTCATTGCATCTGTATATTTTAATTTTTCATTTTTATTTCATCTTTATTACTGGTACTGGATTAGGAGCCTTACAAAGACTGATATGCCTGATATCCTCTTTCCTTGAGGTTTTAGCAAAAAAAAAAAATTCTGTTGCTATTAATTTTATTATTACTGACAAATAATAAATATAATGTTATCAACAGTACTAAAAAGATTTAAAAAAGGATTTTTCCAAAAATATTGGAAATTAATAAACCAGGACTAGTAATTGACTAGTAATAAGTATTTGTAGAGCCATCTATGTGGAAAGGCAATATATACAAACAAAAACAAACAAAACAACTGACATATATTCTTGCCATCCTGGCATCAGTGGGTTAAGCATGCTTGGTTTCTCTGAGTTTTAGAAAGTTTTAGTAAGGTTTAATATGTTTGTTCACTTTCAATATTTAAACATAATCAGTGTCAGTAAATTTAAGCAAATATGCAAGACTTGAGACAGCAAGATTTGTAAAACTAAAGAACACTGGCAAATTTATTTTGTATCTGTTAAGTATCTGTTTTACTATTGTTGTGAAATATTAATTTATTCACAAATATAGAAGGATCTTTGTGGTCTTAATTAATTGGGTTTTTCATTGAGGAATAAAGAAATATTGAAGGTCTCTCTTCATTTCATATGATAATGATGAATTTATAGTTTCTCAGCAGATACTAATAAAAATAGGTAAAATAAGAATGCACATACAAACATGCATATATATATATATATATATATATATATATATATATATATATATATATATATATATATATATATATATATATATATATATATATATATATTTTTTATACTCAGTCCATTTAACAAGTTTCAGTTTAGATTTGTTCATATTGTTTTTTGAGAATTAATGCTAAGATACCAAGGTCTGTATAATCTCCCAGATGAGGTCATAGAGTATTAAGATGATTGTCTTGTGTGTTATCTCAAAATTTTCAAGGCTGCAATATATAAATAGATAGCATGCATGCACACATGTGTGAGTGAGTGAGTGAGTGAGTGAGTGTGCGAGTGAGTGAGTGTATGTTTATGTGTATGTGTGTATGTGTCTGTGTATGTATGTGTATGTGTCTGTGCATGTATGTATGTGTGTATATGTACATATGAGAAAGGGTTAAAAAGTGTAAGTGAAAATGAGAGAAAGGGTCAAAGAGTGTAAGTGAAAGTGAGAGAAAGAGTGAAAGAGAGAAAATGAGAGAAAATGTGAAAGAGAAAATAGAAGAAAGAAACAGAGAAAGTGAAAGAATGGAAAGAATGAGAGAGTTAGAAAGTAAGAGAGAGTGAGTGAGTGCATATATAATAGAAAGAGTGAGAGGGAAAGAGAGAGAAAGAGAGAGAAAGAGAGAGAACGAGATAGAAAGAGAGGGAACAGAGCGAGAAAGAGAAAGAGAAGGAAAGAGAGTGAAAGAGAGTGAAAGAGAAAGAAAGACAGAGAATAATTTGAATAATTTATTTTCTGTGTTGTAGTGGAACTTCCCGAATGCCATGATTACGCGTAAAGCAGGAGCTGCCCTGGCTGCAGGATGCACGTGTGTCATCAAGCCAGCAGAAGACACCCCCTTCTCAGCACTTGCAGCTATGGACCTTGCTGAAAAGGCTGGTTTTCCTCCAGGTGTGTTTGTGTGTCCTGATGGCATCAATTTGCTTGGAGAATTAGGTCATTTTTTTATGGTTTCTTTATAGTGGTCTATTTTGTATGACTTCTTTAATGTGGGGAAATGAGTGTTAATGAACATCAACGTCATTCTTGTGTTTAGTATATAACATAATCTTTCAGGAGTTGTAAATGTGGTGACAGCATCAAGGCAGAACACTCCAGCCGTAGGGGAGATTCTTTGTACAAGCCCAAAAGTAGCAGGCATGTCCTTCACAGGTGAGAACATAAAGCTTTCACTTAGTATTTTTGTGGAAGAAGTTACTGTTGAAAACAGAATCTTTTCCTTTTTGGGTGTTAATTGAGGGTTGAGCTGTATTTTATGCACTATTTTCATAAAGATAAAAGTAATTTTTTTCGTTTTCATTGAGTTTACGCATACTAGAATACACTATTGATGTGCTGTTGCGTATCAGCATCACAAATATCAGTTTTAAATATTTGTATTACAAGAAGCTATTTTCTTAGATGTAATGACTTGCTATACATTATATCTCGATTCCATTTCAGGATCAACTGTAGTAGGGCAGTTATTGTACAAGCTCTGTTCAAAGGGTATCAAGAGGATTGGACTAGAGTTAGGAGGAAATGCTCCATTCATTGTCTTCAATGGGGCAAATGTGAAATCAGCTGTTGAAGGACTAATGGCTGCAAAGTTCAGGAATGCAGGACAGGTAAGTGCAGTGAAAGGGTGAAATACAGATCATATATTGCATAATACATAGTAACAGTATTGTTTCACTTTAGAAGTGTGGAATAGACTGTGTGTGTCTAGAATCCCTGTCTGTTAAAAGATTAAATATAGGGTATCCTTGAATCAAAAGTACTTTCATTAAAGGCTATTGATTACTTAGAAATTAGTGGGAACATTCCTTGAAATTAAAGTGGCAGGTAAATTAGGAATTATAAGGTAATTTGAAATGGATTAGAGTAGATTACACTAATCTAGTCTTTACTACTGTTGTTCTATACAAAGTTGACAGTCTTATTTTCACTGGACACTGAAATCAGTCATTGTATACTGACAGACTTGTATGGAACACATGCATATTTACACTGCATAAAAATCTAGTACAGATAATTAGAAGAAACATTGTTATTAAATTCTTAATTTGGTGAAGGATGTCATATTACTAATCAGATGGATATGAGTGACTTGAATGTCTTGTCACACATTTGGCTGAGGTGTGGGTGATAGGAACGTCTTGTCACATAAAAGTGTTGATGGGGATGCCTCGCGATGAGTGAGATTGACTCAGTGGGCCCACAAGAAGGGGCTCCTTTTTGAGCTCTGGCAGGATATCCACCAGGGTAAATTTTACCATACATTAACCGTGCCTGGGATTGGGTTGTTTTCAGAGAGACCGGAAACTATTCCTAGTGGTATAGGGTGTGTTATTGAATATTGAATAATACTAATATATAAAGGATAGCAAAAATAACATAATGTTGGTTAATATTGCTGTTACTTCACTGAGTATAAACTACCTGGAGAGATAAGATGGAGGCAATTTAAAGAAAACAGTTTAGTACAATCCTGATACAACATGTCTTCAGGGCTAATGGAATTGCAAATAAGAGAGAAGGAGTCATGATACCGCATGTGAATGTTAGTGCGAGCTTGGCCTAAAATCCACACATGGGAGAGTCAACACTAAAGGAAGTCTAATGCCTGAATTTTAATCCACATGAATGCTTCAAGAGTGGCATTCATGCATATGTAATCATAAAATGCCTGGAGTAAAATAAGAATTAATTACTTATACACAGTGATCATTAATTTTAATTTTACTCCTGGGTATTACATGCCTAGGTATTTGATATTAAAACTTCTTGTTTGTTTAAAATCTTCATTAATCAATTATTGTATATCAAAAAGTAATTTTGATTTTACTCCTCTGCATTTCAATTACATTATCAGTATACCTGTGACAGCATAGTAACAATCCCTGATTAGCACTTGTTATATGCCATTTTTGTCATCAGGCCCATATTGTGTATTCAATCTCTTTCTTGATCTGTCTTCTTGATTAGGAGTGTATCTTAAGTTACTTCATTTCAGTTTAACTTGTCTGTTATCTCCAGATACATCCCTTGCTTTGGACAATGTTAGTTACTTTACCCTATATTTTGCAGAAGAAAATTGTTTTGAGATAGGTACCTATTTTTAACAGTCCATTGATAATATTGTCTAGTAAGTTACATTATCTACTGTGAAAATGTAATGTCTTTCTTGATGTAGAATCTGTTACCATGGTCCAAAACATTTTGAATTAGGTTCCATATACTGTGGATCCCTGACTTGTGTATACAGTTTATAAACTATTTTACTCCTCACAGACTTGCATCAGTGCAAACAGGATCTTGGTTCAGTCTGGAGTCTATGATCAGTTCCTGGAGCTATTGAAGGAAGCTGTGAGCAAGCAACTGGTTGTAGGGGATGGATTTGACAAAGGAGTTAATCAGGGACCTATCATTAACCAAAGCCAGCTGAACAAGGTTAGTTGTTCCTCTTTCACAGTCTCTTTCACCAACTCTCTCATTGTGGCATTTCCACCTTCATTGAGTTTTTTATGTGTTAGCTTTTCTTTTCTTTCCTAGTCAGACTTCTCTATTAAAAGATTAATTTTAGAACTAATGATTTGTGCTGTGACGTTACCAAGTTCTATTTATGATTAGCATTATTTTGGTTGCAAGTGTTACAGCTTAAGACTATCATATACACAGTATAAGTTTCATATAGTGTGTAAAATCCATCAGCGCTGTTACTTAAAAGTAAAAGTAATCAATAAGGAGTTGAAATATGTGATGTGAAGAGTACAATCTCAGTGAAGTTTGAAAAAATTGGCAATACTTCAGACATACTTGATCATCATTAGTGATGTCTTTGGTATATTTGAGGACTAGCACTATCTTTGTATCTATGCTCTTTATTGATCATTAGCACTATCCTCAGAAACACCAGAACACATTCATGAAATTTCTATTGAAATTATAGTATTGCAATTATTTCAGTATGATGGATTAGTTTTAGTCACAGTTTATTTCATGTAATACTTTCATGTGAATATTACTAGACTAAATATTATAAATGCTGTTTCTTTATCATTTCCATGTATTACTTAATGTAAGTGATTGCAATACCATGTAAGAGCACCACCTAATGCTAGAACTGAGGTGGTACAATGCCACAAAAGCATTTTCTACACAGTCCTTTGACTAGAATGAAGTAGGTACAGTGCCATAAAATTATTTTCAGCACTATCCTCTAACAAGGACATATTGTTATTTTCAGCACCATCCTCATACTAGGACAATGTAGTTGTAGTGCCCCAAAGCCATTTACAGCACTATGCTATCATCTACACTATCTTTATATGTGGGTAAAGTAGTTGCAGTGCCCTAGAATTCTTTCTAGCTCCATCCTTTGGTAGAACATAGAACTGTTTTTACTAGAGCCCAATTTGAGTACCATCCCTTTACTAGGGCATAAACCTGTTTGCAGCACTTAGTAGGACAAAGTAGCTATAGTGTCATAGAATAATTTCCATTGCCATTCTCTCACACTCAGGTCAGTGGTATTGTCAAGGACTCCATAGCTGCTGGAGCTCACTTGGTGACTGGAGGGAGCATTCACAAACTGGGGGGTCTGTTCTACGAACCAACCATCCTAACTGAAGTGACAGAGGATATGCCTTGCGTCAAGGAGGAAATCTTTGGCCCAGTTGTGGCTGTTAGGAAGTGAGAACTGTTCTTTATTTATCCATTAAAAAAATGTAAGGGTAAAATTCTCTGGCATGTTGATAAAATAGTAAAGAAATGCAATTACACCAGAAGAGCTCGTCAGAAGAGGAGACAGTTGTCTTTTATTTATAATAGCTTTATGGCTATTGCATTAAAAGTTTGGTTGTAATTTGATGGAAGGTATGTTGTAAAAAGTAATTTATGGTGGTAATGAAAGGTATGCATAGATACTGCAGTAGATTCATCCCCTTTTCACATATTACAGGTTTGAGACTGAAGAAGAGGTTCTGCAGATAGCCAATAACTCTGACCGTGGTTTGGCTGCTTACTTCTACAGCCAGGATGTGTCGCAGGTAATAAGTTAAAAAGAATAGACATTTAACCCACTGCCGATGGGCATGACGTGTACGTACGTGCTATGCCCACCGTGAGTTACTTGTATGATTGTTTTTACACATAGATGGCTACACTTGTACTAAGTCACCAATGAGCCAGTTATGAGTAATGCCTGTCTCGCCCGTTTACCTTTTACTTTGATTTATGAAATATTTTACATAATCTTATTTTGCCGTTATTAATGTTAAAAAGCTTTATAATAATTATAATGCTTATAATAAAAATAACACCATCAATATTCATAGCACTAGTAAAAAATATGTTTTTCCCATCATTTCAAATCAGATACGGTCACAAGGTCTACTAATTGACGCCTCTGTGGCTAAGCACTAGCAGAGCCATCTATGGGCAGACATTTCATAAAAAGTATAGAAAATAGGCACAGCATTTTCCCCATTTTTTGTTCATTTTCCCCGGCGGCATTGGGTTAAATGTATACAGTACATCTAAAAGTCTGTTGAAGATATTTGTCTGAATCTCATGTGTCAGATTTAATGATCTTAAAAATAAAAGCAAATTATTCACTGAATCTCATTTGCAGTTGATAATATTGTAGACATAAAAACCTGTGGAAATTGGTCATACATTGATTATTTTAATCAAAGCCTATTAATTGCATGGACCTTCCTGCCTTCCCACAGGTATGGCGGGTGGCCAGGAGATTGGAATCGGGAATGGTTGGCATTAATGAGGGCCTAATCTCTGCTGCGGAAGGTGCATTTGGAGGAGTGAAACAATCAGGCATTGGCAGAGAGGGTTCCAGTCATGGTATTGATGAGTACACAAATATTAAGTACATTTGCATAGGAGGTATTCATTAAACACTTGGCATATTGTGGTTGAAGGTATAGGTCAGGGCAGCTTATTGTGTGCTGGCATTGCAGCTATATCTTTTTAATATCTGTATTTATGCTGATATTTACAATAGAGCTATAAAATTGTGTGAACAAGTACGACAGTGGTGTTGAAAATTATGTCTTTCTTTTAGATCTATGTTATTTTGAGATCATTAAATGATACATATACTTATAGTAGATAAACCTTACTAATTTGATATTATTTTGAGTGAAGATCTACCAAATGGAGTTGGTATAAGGTGATGTCAAATGTAAATGCACAAGGAATATTTAACATTGATCCTACATTAGGATACTGTAATTAAAGGGATCCAAAATTTGGGTGATGATAAATGAAAATTTAATAAGCCATTATTTTATGGCTTTTTTTATATTGCACTTTCTGATATCCATCTATATCTTGGTTTTTGTGTCCATCTGTCTGTATCTGTTTGTCTATTGATCCATCTAACATTTTTTTTTCTCTTATTTCTTTAACTGTAAAAATAATTAATAAAATGTGTTTCTGAGCAAAATGAAATGTTAAAACCTCAGCAGTATTCTATGAAATCAGTAACACTGCCAGTGATGATAATAATTGTGTTTTTGATAAGTGTTCTGCTAACATTGGCATTAAATGATTATATGCCTTTTAGACATGAATTTTTGGTACCTTTTCACATTAATATTACACTATCATGTGTTAGAAAAAAATCTTGATCTATAATTGAAGGTAAGATAATCAGTCACTTTAGATAGATTAATAATTATGAATAATCATGCAGGAGATATGCTGAAGTGGGTGAGAAAACATCAGATTGCACCATTGCACTTTACGCTAGATTGTAAATTAGTGGCACAAGTAAACATGATCTTGGACATGTTTATATATTAAACATTTGTGAGGAGCTTTACAAAAAGTACAATCTCATAAATGTTAAGAAAATAGTTCCAATTTTTTACATATACACCTGATGCTTTTTCATGTTTGCTTCATAACTTTTTGTTTCATTCATGGCATTATAGTATTATCAATTAGTTTTTGTTGTGATTTGTTTCTTTTGTGTTCATGTCTGTCAATGGTATGTTTAGACAATTTATGCATCAGTTGCAGGGCATTCCTTTTTGCAATCATGAGCATTGTATTATGTAGAATTCATGTATATTTACTGGCTGCATAATATAGAAGAGCTAAACATGGTATATTCTAAGTATAATGGGATTACACAAATTTGCTTGAAACACCAATTTTGTAATAGCTAGGAATAAGTATGTAGTTTATATATATGTTTAGGATTATATAGATCATACTCTGGTATAATAGGAAGAGAGTTACAAATATATATACTTAATGTTTTTGTCTTCATATGATTTTTGGGAGCACATTGTTTCAATTTTTTATATTAGAGCAAGGGAGGGACTCAAAATTGTAAGCATTTTGAATTTTTTAAGAATGTCACTTTAATGTATTTTTAACAGAGAAATCAGAAATTTCTTTTGAGCCATTACACCAACCTATTTGAGTTGAGTTTTTATGGCTATATCGGGGTTACACTTTCATCAGCTATTAAGTACAAAATTATTATTTTTTTTTTCATTATCAGTGTTTCTTATGGTATCCCTTTTATACACACATTAATAATGTGTCAAAGGAAAACAAGGAAGAAGTGGAAGATTTCTATTGACATATTTCTTTTTTACAAAAGGTATCGGGTAGTCTTGATAACATGTATTTATAATCGTAAAAGCAGTCCTAAATATTGACTTGATAGTCGTGCATATATTCTTTTTTCACTTTTTTTTTTCTTTTTTTTTTAGATATTTATATGTACTGCACTGTATATAAAAAGTGCCATATCTTTTTTTTCCTTCATATAGAGTCCAAATTATAAGATAAAAATTAAAGGAAAAAATAGTGTAAAAATACTCATCATCATGAGATATAAAACGGACGAGTTAAAAAATACTGAAGATGATTTATAAAGTAATCAATTGCAATATTAAATGACATATCACAATATTTACACAAAAATATTCCTTAATGCAAAACTTGAGATGTTATGTTATTGTACAAACATGTGAATTTAATTATAACATTTATTTTTTCATACTGAATTGTTTGGTAAGTTTGCAAGGGAGTCTTCCATTGATGTTTATTGTTATTCGTTAAATGTTGGGCAGTGTACTATTACTGTCAGGTGTTGTGGTGTATTTTTGTTGTCCCTTGTAAATTTGTTGATTAAACTGGAGATTTACCTTTTATACTTTTAACATCCTTTTTGAAAAGCCATATATTTTTTTTTTTTGTTACTGACTTGATAAAAAAATAAAAAAGATAAATAAATAAAAATCACAATCACAATCACACAACTACTCAGAACAACAAATATTTTCTGTCAATGCAGAAAAGAAAGTTCAAGCATAGATTTTCCATGAACTTGCCTGGAACCAGTTTTACTGTGGGAATGACATAAATTTGATGATGAATAAATGAGAAATGACCAAGTATCTCCAATTATAATAGAATAACTTAGTGCCATGCTTGGTAGGTGCTATTGTTGTTTTTAATGTCCATTTGCAAAATTAAGCTTCAGGTTCATTAAAAAAAAGGCTGAGATAAAAATACAAATAAAAATTATTAATATCTTGTCTGTCATTATCTAATAATAATTTTAACAAATCTGGAATGAGCTGTTGCAGTTCTACTAATAAATAAACTGAACATGTATATCTTAACACGCTCCTCATGTTATGACAAAACCAAGACTCCCCTCTATCGCGGAGGCCTTCACGGTGCTCTCACACTAGTCCCAATGAAGCTATGAGGAAGAAAACTTGTATGTTTTATTGTGCTTACTTTGCTACTCATTCATGTCCCTTGCTAATGTATGAAAGCCAAAACCATAGCCAATCTATGTATAAAAAGGAAAAAAAAACATTAAATATATACTGTTTTTTACTCATCTTTGTGCCACTGGTGTACCAACTCCCAATAAAGGAATATAGTTAGTGGTACACATGTGGTCCAAGACGCGGGTAACGTGTTAAGTAGTTCTTGTATCAGGTATACAGTAACTAAAGTCAGATACCAGATATGGGTAGACATTGTTCATTTTGATGTATATATGAGGAATATAATGGATGCATATTGACATAAAATTATGAAATAATTCAGTTACATTCTTTTGCATTTCAACATGTGAACCAGCTTTGTGAATATACCTCATGCTTGAGATTGGTTGATTTTTCTATCCAACTTTGATGTAATAAGTTCCCTTTATCTACCCGGGTTGCGATTACATGTGTGTAGTGGCAGACCAACAGGGCAAGAGGAGCAGGTTGTCACTCCTACTGTAGGGTTCCCTTCCCTCCAAACTACCCCTCTATCTTTTAATTCTTAAAAATACAGGTTTAAAATAAATTGACAATGAGTTAAACACTAAATATTAGAATTATGACTTATAAGAATACATAGCCAGAATGGTGAAACTAAAATAAAACGAGATATCTGAATTTGGGCAGTCTTACTATTATTATTATTATAATTTTCATCACTTACTATTAATATATCCTTATCATCTTCATCATCATCATCATCACTATTATTATCATGATCATTCTTATTGTTATCATTTTTATCATTACCTTTGTTATTACTTTCATCATCATCATTATCATCATTTGTATCATTATTTTCATTATCCTCACCAACATCATTACCATTGTTAATATTACTGATGATGTTTCCTTTATTGCTATTACATATATCTGCAGCACTCAGTCAGACTGCCTCATACTTAGGGAATATAAGCTCAGTGCTGCATGTTCACCAATTTACCAAAAGTGATGTAATCTTTTTGGTTGGTAATTTAACTTAAATCTGGGGTGTAACATTCACTGAATAATAGTATTATCGATAACAATAATGAAAATGATAGTGGTGGTGATGATGATAATGATGATATTCATGAATATTAATGATAACAATAGTAATATTATTGATAATATTAATAATGATAATTATAATCATAATAACAATAACTAAGAAAATAATGACAACAACACCAACAATAATAACAACAACAATAATAATGATAATAATAATAATAATAATAATAATAATAATAATAATAATAATAATAATAATAATAATAATAATAATAATAATAATAATAATAATAATAATAATGATAATAATAATAATAATAATAATAATAATAATAATAATAATAATAATAACGCTGCTGCTGCTGCTAATAGTATGAATGATATGTCATATTAATAATAAAAATAATAATGACAAAGATAATGATAGTGATCATCATAAAAACTACAAAAAGACTATTTTAATAATCATAATCATAACCATGATAATAACAACAATGATTAAAAAATACAATAATAATTAGAATAAATAATAATCATAATGATACAAATAATAATAATAATAATAATAATAACGCTGCTGCTGCTGCTAATAGTATGAATGATATGTCATATTAATAATAAAAATAATAATGACAAAGATAATGATAGTGATCATCATAAAAACTACAAAAAGACTATTTTAATAATCATAATCATAACCATGATAATAACAACAATGATTAAAAAATACAATAATAATTAGAATAATAATAATGATAATAATAATAATAATATAATAATAATAATAATATAATAATAATAATAACGCTGCTGCTGCTGCTAATAGTATGAATGATATGTCATATTAATAATAAAAATAATAATGACAAAGATAATGATAGTGATCATCATAAAAACTACAAAAAGACTATTTTAATAATCATAATCATAACCATGATAATAACAACAATGATTAAAAAATACAATAATAATTAGAATAATAATAATGATAATAATGCCAACACTAATCATAACATTATTAATGATAATAATGCCAACACTAATCATAACATTATTAATGATATTGATAATGATGAAGAACAACAATAATGATAACAACAATGATAACAGCAATACTGATAACAACATTAACAATAATATTAATAATAATTATGATAATATTTTCACAATACTAATTACACAAAGGAGATTCAGAATGACAGGGTACAGGATAGGTATGGTATTAATTTATTCCTATATAGAATTTACCATAAATATGATCTTGACAGGAAACATTTTTAGGATTTTCCTTTGGAAATAGGTCTGCTGCTAGGAGGATCGACAGAAAGGGACAGAGGGAAGGGGGCAGGTAAGGGGAAAGATGGGCGGGAGGAAACTGAGAAGAAGGTGAAATGGATACGGATAAAATGAATGAAAGGAAGAGATAAAAGGGGAAAATCGTCTGATGTGGAACGGAAACAAAAGAAATTAAGTTAATATAAAATGAGACAAAAGAAGAAATAAACCGGAGCAAGAAAAAAGGAATAGAAGAATTGATGACATAAAGAAATTAAAAATAAACTAAACTAAAGAGAAGGAAGTACGATAGCATGAAGTTGCCAAGAGTCTCACTCTTGGTATAAGGGGAATGCTAACACCACTTTGGTCAGTCAGCGAGATGGTGCTGGCTCTGCAAGCCTTTTCTACTCCATATATATGGAATAGGATTTTTTATAAACATATAAACTCGCGAGGGCACAGACGTTATATGAGATGATGTGGGGAGTGGAGCGAATATATGCGAAAAGGAGTGCGTACAGTTCTGTAGTACGGTCACTGGATTCAGGAGGGAAGGATTGGAGCTTCTAGCCAATGGGGAGGAAACTTTCCTGTCCACATTATCACATTAAAAGGAAGTTAACCATTCGCTGTAATAGTTTGCAAGCAGCTAGTTAGAGTGATGGGGTAGTAATTTTGAGGGAGGGTATCCGATTCATTGGGTTTTAAGAAGGGGAGGATTGGAGCTTCTAGCCAATGGGGAGGAAACTTTCCTGTCCACATTATCACATTAAAAGGAAGTTAACCATTCGCTGTAATAGTTTGCAAGCAGCTAGTTAGAGTGATGGGGTAGTAATTTTGAGGGAGGGTATCCGATTCATTGGGTTTTAAGAAGGGGAGGATTGGAGCTTCTAGCCAATGGGGAGGAAACTTTCCTGTCCACATTATCACATTAAAAGGAAGTTAACCATTCGCTGTAATAGTTTGCAAGCAGCTAGTTAGAGTGATGGGGTAGTAATTCTGAGGGAGGGTATCCGATTCATTGGGTTTTAAGAAGGGGAGGATTGGAGCTTCTAGCCAATGGGGAGGAAACTTTCCTGTCCACATTATCACATTAAAAGGAAGTTAACCATTCGCTGTAATAGTTTGCAAGCAGCTAGTTAGAGTGATGGGGTAGTAATTTTGAGGGAGGGTATCCGATTCATTGGGTTTTAAGAAGGGGAGGATTGGAGCTTCTAGCCAATGGGGAGGAAACTTTCCTGTCCACATTATCACATTAAAAGGAAGTTAACCATTCGCTGTAATAGTTTGCAAGCAGCTAGTTAGAGTGATGGGGTAGTAATTTTGAGGGAGGGTATCCGATTCATTGGGTTTTAAGAAGGGGAGGATTGGAGCTTCTAGCCAATGGGGAGGAAACTTTCCTGTCCACATTATCACATTAAAAGGAAGTTAACCATTCGCTGTAATAGTTTGCAAGCAGCTAGTTAGAGTGATGGGGTAGTAATTTTGAGGGAGGGTATCCGATTCATTGGGTTTTAAGAAGGGGAGGATTGGAGCTTCTAGCCAATGGGGAGGAAACTTTCCTGTCCACATTATCACATTAAAAGGAAGTTAACCATTCGCTGTAATAGTTTGCAAGCAGCTAGTTAGAGTGATGGGGTAGTAATTTTGAGGGAGGGTATCCGATTCATTGGGTTTTAAGAAGGGGAGGATTGGAGCTTCTAGCCAATGGGGAGGAAACTTTCCTGTCCACATTATCACATTAAAAGGAAGTTACCATTCGCTGTAATAGTTTGCAAGCAGCTAGTTAGAGTGATGGGGTAGTACATTTTGAGGGAGGGTATCCGATTCATTGGGTTTTAAGAAGGGGAGGATTGGAGCTTCTAGCCAATGGGGAGGAAACTTTCCTGTCCACATTATCACATTAAAAGGAAGTTAACCATTCGCTGTAATAGTTTGCAAGCAGCTAGTTAGAGTGATGGGGTAGTAATTTTGAGGGAGGGTATCCGATTCATTGGGTTTTAAGAAGGGGAGGATTGGAGCTTCTAGCCAATGGGGAGGAAACTTTCCTGTCCACATTATCACATTAAAAGGAAGTTAACCATTCGCTG